TATTTCTAGATTCTGCAGTGGAATGCCCATACTAAACTACACCCTCATGCTCACCGAGATATTTGTCTCTAATCAAGTATTTATACGACCATGGTTATATATACCGAAAATCGGTATACTTTCTATTTCTAGATTCTGCAGTGGTATGAGCATACTAAACTATACCCTCATGCTCACCTAGATATATGTCTCTAATCAATTATTTATATGACCATGGTTATATATACCGAAAACCGGTATACTTTCTATTTCTAGATTCTGTAGTGGTATGCGCATACTAAACTATAGCCTCATGCTCACCTAGCTATATGTCTCTAATCAAGTATTTATATGACCATTGTTATACATACCGAAAACCGGTATACTTTCTATTTCTAGATTATGTAGTGGTATGGGCATACGTACTAAACGGTCTAAACCACACACTCACGCTCATCTAGATATATGTCTCTAATCAGATTTTTCTATGACCATGGTTATATATAGTGAAAACTGGTATATATAACCAAGGTCATATAAATACTCGATTAGAGACATATATCTCGGTGAGCATGCACGAGTGTTTTGTTTAGTATGGCCATACCACTGCAGAATCTAGAAATAGAAAGTATACCGATTTTTGGTATATATAACCATGAGCATGTAAATACTCGATTAGAGACATATATCTAGGTGAGCATGAGGGTGTAGTTTCGTATGGACATACCACTGCAGAATCTAGAAATAGAAAGTATACCGCTTTTCGGTATATATAACCATGGTCATATAAATACTTGATTAGAGACAAATATCTAGGACGGTGAGGATGAGGGTGTAGTTTCGTATGGACATACCACTACAGAATCTAGAAATACAAAGTATACCGGTTTTCGGTATATATAACCATGGTCATATAAATACTTGATTAGATACAAATATCTAGGTGAGGATGAGGGTGTAGTTTCGTATGGACATACCACTACAGAATCTAGAAATACAAAGTATACCGGTTTTCGGTATATATAACCATGGTCATAAAAATACTTGATTAGAGACAAATATCTAGGTGAGGATGAGGTGTAGTTTAGTATGGGCATACCACTACAGAATCTAGAAATAGAATGTATACCGAATTTGGAATATATAACCATGGGGATGTAAATACTGGATTAGAGACAAATATCTAGGTGAGCATGATGGTGGAGTTTCGTATGCGCATACCGCTACAGAGTCTAGAAATAGAAAGTATACCGGTTTTCGGTATGTATAACCATGGTCGTATAATTACTTGATTAGAGACATATATCTAGGTGAGCATGAGGGTGTAGTTTAGTATGGGCATACCACTACAGAATCTAGAAACAGAAAGTATACCTGTTTTCGGTATATATAACCATGGTCGTATAAATACTTGATTAGAGACATATATCTAGGTGAGGATGAGGGTGTAGTTTAGTATGCGCATACCAATACAGAGTCTAGAAATAGAAAGTATACCGGTTTTCGGTACGGTATAACCATGGTTGTATAATTACTTGATTAGAGACATATATCTAGGTGAGCATGAGGGTATATAGTTAGTATGCACATACCACTACAGAATCTAGAAATAGAAAGTATAGCGGTTTTCGGTATATATAACCATGGTCATATAAATACTCGATTAGAGACATTGATCTAGGTGAGCATGAGGATGTAGTTTAGTATGCACATACCAATACACAATATAGAAATAGAAAGTATACCGGTTTTCGGTATATATAACCATTGTCATATAAATACTCGATTAGAGACATATATCTAGTTGAGCATGAGCGTGTAGTTTCGTATGCACATACAACTACAGAATCTAGAAATAGAAAGTATACCTATTTTCGGTATATGTAACCATGGTCATATAAATACTGCATTAGAGACATATATCTTGGTGAGCATGAGGGTGTAGTTTAGTGTGGACACACATACCACTACAGAATCTAGAAATAGAAAGTATACCGGTTTTCGGTATATATAACCATGGTCGTATAAAAATTTATTACATACAAGTATCTCGGTTAGCATGAGGATTAGGTTAGTATGGGCATACCACTACAGAATCTATAAATAGAAAGTATACCAGTTTTCGGTATATATAACCATGGTCGTATAAAAACTTGATTTATTGAGGCATTAAAACATGGTTTTTCTTGTGGTTCGCGGTACCGCGAATGAAAAAAAAATCACGAATTTAAGTAAGCATTCCCAAAGAGAGTGCTATGCTCTTTTGTCTTTTTATAGCAATTGTTTCTCTCGGATAATTTAATATATGTTTTAATAATGATTACAAAATTCCGAAATCCTCCATTTTGTTATTCATTCAGTTTATTATTATAGATCAATGAGTCTCTTTTTTCATGTGGTCAGCGGAAATCCCTAATAATTTGATGGTCGCAACTGTGGTTATATATACCAGAAAATGGATACTATACATATATCTCACATTATCTGAGGTTCTGTGCTCAAGAGTTCGTTTTGTGGTAGGGCTGATGAGTTACTTCAGAAAGATCTAGTACTGACACCAGACAATTAACAAGCAACACTAAATACAATAATTCTGACCCAAATCGAAATTTAAACTTGTCCTGGATCGGGGATTTTTTATCCTTTAAACAGTTTATCGAAGCAAATGTTAACATTCGTGGTATTTGGCGATCTCCCGGCGACGAACGAAACTTATAGTGATGGAAACACGACAATAATGTGGTGGGAAAATAAAAAGAAGATGCAAGTTAGTGGTAATTCAAACAGTATTAATTAATAAAGAAAAGCTCTGTGACATTCTGTTGGGAAATGTGTTTATCGAAAAGCACAAGGCGGACCACAACGACGAAGGACGGTACGTTAATGCTTGTCGGTGTGACTGTGGGGATATCAGAACTGATATTGATGGCATGAAATTAGATATAGTAATCAACGAGACGGGATTAAGCCGCGAGATCAATCGAAATGCAAAGACTATTGGCGAACTACAAAAGCTAAATTCAACCTGTCCGAGTAGTGCTGATTTGGAAGATATTAAGCATGCTATTGCGACACTACAATTAATGCTCGAAGGTTTACAAATGCCCGGCAACGATGATATATCAAACGTTGGGGAAACGTTCAGCGATGGGGAACAACCGATTTCAAAAAAATCTAACAATGAAAAGGATGTGCATATCTCCCCAGATTTGAATTTCTACAAAAATAAGGCTAGAAACTTGGAACAAAAATATTATGAACTCAGGGCGACCTTTGGCACTAAAATATTTGAATTGGAGGAAAGTACAAATATAAATGCAAATTTGGTTGATCAAGCCATTTTTGATAATAATTTAAATAAAGACAAACAACATGAACACAATGCCCATTGTCCAGATGCCTCAACAGAAACAATAGATGACCTTAATTTCAATAATAGTGTAATTATTATGAATGACATACCTTCCTCTGAATCAAATGACACCAGTATAATGGAAATTAATCAACCATACGAAGAATTAACTGCTGATGCGTCAATAGCGTCATCAATACATCGTCTTAGCTATAATCAGCGTAATTCTGTCCAGAGAAATAACAAACCCTTACTACCCCTGGACAACCTATATCAACCCGCATTACTCGGAGAACGCTGTCTAAGAAATGTTATAGAAAACGGCCTCGGAAATATAATAGACAAAACTACAATAGGGGAAACAATAATACGGCAACATCACGTGAAAAGCGACAACTCGGTGAGGATTTTCGGACCCAAACGAGATGGAGAGAAAAAATGAAATTTACCAGTATTTTTATTAGACATTATCGTTGAGATAAGATGCCGTAATGTAAATAATCTGATACAAATCAAAACAAACAATTTCAATAATGACAGTAAACAAGCACATTTGACACCCCTAGTTTTTACTTGTTAATTTTAATTAAATTCTCGTTCACTTTTACCCAAGATACGTCAACTAACAGCGCTTATTAGCATCCAACCTGTTGATATCGTAGCAGTCACCGAATCTTGGTTGCATAATGATATTGAGAACAGATTAGTATTATTGAATGGTTACAATTTATTTCGTAAAGATAGAGCTACCCGCCTGCTACCGGTCGTGGCGGTGGGGTCGGCGTCTATATTAAAAGCGATATTCCTTGCGTACGACGGTTAGACCTGGAGAATAACAGATTTGAATGTTTGTGGCTATGTTTACGACCTAGGCGCCTTCCTAGACCTCTTTCTGGAATTGTAATTTGTGTCGTATACCATCCACCAGGTCTGCAAGTGTCAGATCACGATGATCTTAATGAATATTTAATCAACACGACTGATGTAATTCGAAACAAATACCCGGACTACGGTCTGGTCATCACAGGTGATTTCAACGATTTTGAAACTGGAACTTTAATGTCTAGCCAGAATGTAAAGCAAGTTGTCGATAAACCAACAAGAGAAACAGCAATATTAGACCTTATTATTACTAACTTGCACCAATTATATCAGTGCCCCCATATTCTTGCTCCGCTGGGTTCAAGTGACCATAACATTGTTCATTGGCACCCATCCGATGTTAATACAAATGAACAAAATACTCAAGTAAAATCAACTAAACAACTGGTACGTCGTTATCCAAGATCAGGTATGGATGCTTTTGGTAGATGGGCCTCTACTTATGACTGGTTTGGCGAACTAGAACCCAACCCTACTACCGACAGTCTGGCCCTCTCTTTCACGAACTGCCTGACAGAAACTATTCACATAATTTTTCCACAAAAGAAAGTAACCCGTACGCGTCATCGAAATGACAAACCTTGGATCACTCCGTCCATTAAACAACTTATTGCTGATCGCCAAAAAGCTTCCCATTGCCAAAACATACCCGCGTGGAAATCTTTGAAATATAAGGTTCAACAAGATATCAAATCTAGGAAAACAACTTATTATAAAACAGAAGTAAAACATTTGAAGAAGGACGACTGTCGAAGGTGGTGGAAACTTGTAAACATCATGGCGGGAAAACCGGAGAAAAACAATTGTTTCAATTTCGAGCGTTATCTGATAATCCTAGATCAGGTCGAATTAGTCATCAGCCTAAACGAGTTTTACGCATCAGTAAATAACGACATTCCAATGCTCGACGTAACAAAACTTCCCACCTTCCTCCCAGCCGCCGAACCTGCCCCGAGGCTTGAACTGTATCAAATATGTAAGAAGTTATGTTTGCCATGTTACTCTGAGTGCATATCCACACCGGGCGAGCTTGAAAAATATGCCCGGCCACGGTGGGATTCGAACCTACGACCTTGGAATACTAGCCCAATGCTGTTCCAACTGAGCTACGCGGTCAGGACGGTTCGAATCCCACCGTGGCCGGGCATATTTTTCAAGCTCGCCCGGTGTGGATATGCACTCAGAGTAACATCGCAAACATATTATTCACCTGAGTACACAACACCAACACAGAAAAATTCATGTAAGAAGTTATCAACAATCAATCCTTTCAAGTCCAGCGGCCCGAACAATATATTCCTTGCTGAATCTTAACCCTATTTGTACAGGGGGTGCGCACAATGAGCGCACCCCTATAAACATTTATTCGTCATTCCTGAACAAATGATCTCATTTGCCTGTGGTTTCATGACTTTTAATATTTTTCCTCTGCCGTCATGACTGTGAAAAAATTTTCTGAAAATTCATCTTTATCCGGACGTTTGCCGACATTTGTCGGGGCCAAAAATGGGAAAATGTGGGTTGGACAGTATTTCTTGGCTGAATCACTTCCCAGGACATAAATAACATAATATAATTAGAGAACATATAAAGATGGATTATTACACATGATTTGCAAAGTAAAATATCCATAATATATTATATAAAATAGTAAAATGTAGTACAACATGTAATATGGTATACTACAAAATACTCATAAAATATAAAATGCTTATTTATAATATTTTTATATACACAAATACATATATTTCTTTGTACCTTCAAGGCATAACATCTTCTTGTCTTTAGCAAATACCAAACATGTAGGAACCATGATATATTTCAGAGTATATGAACGATGTTTGATACGACAAATATACGAATTTACTACATAAAATATTTCGCCTAAAATCCTTGCGAATATCGTGGTTTCAAAGTGAATATTGTGTTTTCAAAACTATACTGCAGACTCGTAGCTGAGCTGTGGTACACTTCATGTAACACATAGTATATTAGTATAAAAACATGGTCGCCATGCATTTCGTATTTTTTCTACAATTTTTTTTGTTGATCGACTTCAGAGTTGAGATCAACTTATTCGGTTTATACTAAAGAAGTTATGCCAACAAAAGGAGCTAGAGTTGCAGCAGAATGGGTAATTTGGAATATTATGCATTTATGCGATATATGGAACATTATGACAACAATGACAGTGTCACAGTGATGAAGGTAACTAAGGTAAAATCAGTGATGTTGAAAATGATTTGGATTGTTTATATGAGAGACAGGTAAGTTTCAGTTGTATGTCTTTTCATATGGTACAAAAACGCCAGCTTGGAAAAGAAAAATAGTGGTGTTTGTGGTATGGTGTATGTAAAAGACATAAAAAATATCACATCCAAAATGTTTTCTTATCTCATTTCGAAAAATAACAAAATTTGGGTAAAATATTAGCAATATTCGCCATTTTGTGATAAGCGGTCGTATTCAATGGGGCCAAAAAACAGCATTTTGGATGTAAATTTAACTTTTTTGTTATTTTTATGTTAAAGAAAGATAAAACTTACTAAAAATAAAACTTATAGGATAATGGCAGTTAATCGGCAGAATTTCTGAGGGGTGCGCCCTATCATCGCACCCCCCGTCATATCAAGATGAAAAAAACCCGGTACAAATGGGGTTAAGGGATTTCGCTTACGAACTTTCTGAGCTTGTTACAACTATCTTTAACGCATCACTCGCATCTGGATCTGTCCCTAAAATATGGAAGGATTCAGATTTATCCCTATCCCTAAGAAACAACAGCCTACTTGCGAAGAAGAGACAAGACCTATTTCACTGACATCTTGTCTATGTAAAACCCTAGAAGAAATCTGACATCTTGTCTATGTAAAATCCTTTTTACTGTCCTGGATGATAACCGATATGGAAGACAGAATTGACCCAAGACAATATGGATGTCTGAAGGGAACATCGACGACTTACTGTCTTTTGTACATGATTCAAACTTGGCTGTCCTTCTTAGATGGTCACGGAAGACACCTACGGATATGTTTTCTCGATCTTGCACAGGCCTTTGACCGTATTGGTCATAATATGGTAATATCCAAACTATTGGGACTAGGTGTTCGACGATCCTTGGTACCATGGATAATTAACTTTCTTTATAACCGTCGACACAGAGTTAAATTAGGAGATATAATATCGGATTGGTTACCAATGAAAGCTGGCGTCCCACAGGGGACAAAACTCGGTCCAATTTTGCTTTTCGTAATGATAAATAATCTCAATCCCAGATCCAGCGGAACAGATATTTGGTAATATGTTGACGATGTATCAACCACGGAGGGACTGGCAAAGGACAGCAATTCTAATATGCAATCTAATCTTGACTCAATCTGTTCTTGGTCCCTACAGAACTATATGAAACTTAACGTTAAAAATGTAAAGAACTACCCATTTGTTTCCTGAAAGATAAACCTGAACTATTGCCATGATTGATAGATGAACAAGCACTTGAAACCGTTCAGTCTCACAAAGTTCTTGGTCTTATTATTCAGAACAATCTAAAATGGAACGAACACATTGATTCATGAGTCGTTTCCAAAGCATCTAAACGGTTGTACATTATTCGCACTTTACTCCGAAGTCGGCTCCCTGCTGAAGATTTACTTGAGATTTATTTCGCGATCATACGCTCAGTGATAGGGTATTGTTGTGTTATTTGGCATAATACTTTAATTTCGTATCTTGCTAACCAGTTATAACGAGTCCAGAAACGCACACATTCAATTATATTACCAGAATACACCTATAGTGAAGCCCTAACATTTCTGAAATGCGCCCGGCTAGACGAGAGACAAGAAAAACTTTGCCTTAAAAGCTTGAAAAATATACCACAAGGAAGTCCTTTATTTAGTCACATTCCAGCACCGAGAGACACCTGTTACGATTACAACCTAAGAAATTCTAATGCATTAACTACAATCAAATGCAGAACAGAACGGTACCCCGCAGCTTCTTTCCGAGTAACTGTGGCTATTTTTAATGACAGTGGCAACATTTAAATACAGATTTTATATAAGTACAAAGTAACGTTTTAATAGATTTTAACTCTTTAATCCTTATTATTGTTAATATAGTAATTAAGAGTCAATGTCAGTAAAAATCGAACATATGAGATATTTCGCGGCCACGACTGAAATTTTGCCCAGTTATTCCTTATTATATCGGAAAATGCACCGTATAATTTTTTAGGTCAAATGCTTTTTTAACTTTGAGAAAATGCCGTTTTAACACGACCACTATAAATCGCCATTTTGTCTGGGAAAATATGCACTGATTTTACCGACAAATTTCACGACGACAACCGTTTCTAATCGATCTAAAACCCTAAAAATCTTGTTTTCGGTTATTCAAAGGATCGGGTACGTGACTTACAGGAAATCTAAGTTACTTTTAGGAATAGAAATAATCGTAGTTTTGGAGCACACTATCTTACTTCATTTACGATACCCTCTTAACAAACCCGATTTTCACCATGGGATAAAGCACCAAATCGATCATGCTTCTACTTGTTCG